TACCCAGCGATGGGAAGCTTTACCCATCGATGGGAACCCAGCGATGGGAAGGCTTAACCATCGATGGGAAGGCATGACCGTTGGGAGTCATTTAAGGCTGATTCTTTCCTTATTTGAAAGTCAACCTCCCACCCAGCAATGGGAAGCATTTACCCATCGATGGGTAGGTAACCGTTGGCTTCAAAACTGAAGGAAAATTGGCTTACCAGCGATGGGTAAGTTCCAAACATCGATGGGAAGCCAATATTCTGCAGATCCCAAATCTTTTCAATCCCATAAATCAAGCTAATCACTCCTTTAATGCATTGGTCCGTTGGAGCCTAATTTTGCACTATAAAAAGGGGTGTTTGGGTCTGCTTTTCTCATCAATTCACTTCACTTTATTCATATTATCATTGCATCCAAACAACATTATTTTCCATAGCTTTCTAGAGCCAATTTGTGAAGTTTGAGTTGTTCTTGAGCGTATATAGTTTACTCAACATCTACTCTTAAAGAGAGTCTTGTTCTTGAGTGTTCTTAGTGTTTTAAACACGTATATAATTTAACCAAGAATATTAATGACATTTATTACCAACAAACCATAGCAACAATAAAGGTGGCTAACAAACGACAATCTTATTAAACCACAAACAACAATCATTCAACTATAGATATGAACTTATCATCACCTCAATTTCACAAAATTAAACTAAATTTTACCTAAACTCACAGTAAACATCAAATTTACTAACACAATTTTAACTAAAATTACACGCCCATCAATTTCACCAAAAAGTAGTGCAATATTTACCCAATTTCAAGTCAATTTCATCTCATATTCACACAATTTTAAGTAAATTTCACCAAAAATGCACTCAATTTCACACAAAGAAATTCAATTTCACCAAAAATTAAATTAAACAAAAATAACATCACCGCAAAGAGGAAGAGGAGGTCGGCGGCGGAAGAGAGACGGCTGGCGGGGCTGGGGAGGACGCCGCCGCTGGCGACGCTGGGGAAGACGGCGTGGCTGGCGCGGCTGGGCGGGATGATGGGTGGAGGGTCCGGCGTGGCTGGCGAGGATGTTCGTCAGCGGAGAGGACCGTCGTTGAAGGCTTGGCGGAGGGGTGGCGTTCGCAGGACGGCGGAGGGGGAGAGAGAATCGGGATAGGGTTGAACTAAAGGACGAGTGGCTGGAAAATTTTGGCTCTCATTTTTTACTTTAAACCTGCTACGGATCTGCGACGGATGTGAGGTTCCGTCGCAGATGCTCAGGTCAAAATTTGACCACCTTATATTTGCAACGGTACCAAATACTCCGTCGCTGATTTGCGACGGAAAATACAAATCCGTCGCAGATTATGCTTGTTTTTCGAGAAATACAATTCCGTCGCGGATTCGTTGCAGATCTGCTACGAACTTAAGTCCGTAGTAGATTTCCGTTGCAGACCAGACAAATTCTTGTAGTGGTGGAGCATATTTGCTTATCAAACCCTCATCTTCTTTCTTCTTTCCTTCTTTGATTTGGATTGACTTTGGCAGCATTTTGGAAGCATCTTCTTTGTCTTTGTTTTGAGGTTCTTCCTTGGCATCCTCCCCTATTTCTTCATCGGGATCACTACTCGGAATGAGTGGAGATTGAAATTGTTTCCCACTCCGAATAGTAATTGCGCTCATTTGCTCTCTTGAGTTTTCTGGACAAGCTGGCAACTTTCCGGTCACCTTTGTTGAGGATGTTGATGCTTGATTAGAAATTTGATTTTCAAGCATCCTATCGTGAGCTCGAAGTTGAGTGAGCTCTTCTGTTATCTGCTTCAAAGTTTTAGCTTGGGCCAATTGAGATTTGGGGAGTTGATCAACGATGTTGTCCAAGCCAGAAGCCGATGTTGTTTCAAGAGTTGGCGGAATTGGCTTTTGTTGATTAGTAGCATAGGGGAAGCTTTGGTTTTGCTTAAATTGTTGATTGTTAGCAAAACCTTGGCCACCTCTAAATTGTTGCTGCTGATTTTGAAAGCCGGGTGGTGAACTCCAATAAGCTTGTGGATTGGCAACTCCACTAGGGTTGCTCCAAGAGAAACCAGGATGATTTCTGTTTTTAGAATTAAATCCACCAAATGGATTTTGTTGTTGTTGTTGTTGCTACGGCTGATTGTAGTTGACATAATCAACTTGCTCCATTGAATCCCGTGGACACGTGGATTGATCATGTTGTCCACCACAGGATACACACATGAGAACATGAACAGGAGGCGGTGCTGGCATAGTGTTTTGCATAGAAGAGACTTGAGCAATCTTTTGGACCATGCTCATCATGCTATCGACCTTTGCAGCCATGGCCGACATTTGATCAACTTCGTACATGCCTCTAATTTTCGGTTGAGCGGATGGACGGTCAGAGTACTAGGTGGATCCGTTTGTTGAGATTCGCTCAATGAGTTCTTCTGCTTCGTCAAGTTCAAGGCTCATGAATGATCCACCGGCTGAGGCATCCAACAATATCCGTTATTTTGGAAAATAATTTTGTGGACCCTACCGAATTTATGTCCGAAAAAGTCCAATTTACTTAAAATTTCCAACAGAGTTTTCATTTAGGCCTTCATATAAAGCCGCCTTTAGGTGCCAGCTTTGGATATTGTGATGTGGGCATTGCCTTTGAAGATCTTTGAATCTTCCCCAAGACTCGTAAAGGGGCTCATTTGGATTTTGCTTGAAATTTTGGATCATCCTCTTGATCTTTGCTGTTTTGGAAGGCGGAAAGAATCGCTTGAGAAATTCTCCGTGAAGCTGGTCCCAAGTTGTGAAGTGATTGTCCGGAAATGAATCCAGCCAGCTTTGAGCTATGTCCCTTAGAGAGAACGGAAACAGACGGAGTCTGCATCAGTTGGCACACCATTGATCTTGAACGTGTTGCACGCTGGTTGTGTGGGTCCTCCGTTGGTCCTCCAACAAACTGATCAGATGAGACCATATGGATGACAGCATGTTTGATTTCGAAGTTGTTTGCTGTGACATCCGGCGGAATAATGTTGTTGTGTTCCGCCACAGAAGGGTTCGGAACTTCATTTTGTCTTCTCTGAATTCCCTGCACAGTTTCAAGAACATTGTTCCGTGGGACTTCCATTTTCTTTCTTTTTCTTATTTCTGTCAAATGTTTTTCAATTTCTGGACTGGAAAAATTTTTCTTGATTGGGGAGGGTTAGAGAGAGAAAGGGAGAAGGGAAAAGGGAAATAGAAGGAAAATAAAAGGTAAAAAATAAAATGAAAAGAAAAGGGAAAGGGGGAAAGGAAAAGAAAAAAAATGTAATGTGCAATAATTAATAAAAAGGCTCTCAATTAGAGTGTCAAGCGGTAATAAACCAACGAGGACACTAAAAAAATAAAAAGAGTGAGTAATAATATATAAATATATAATATGTAATATATATATATATATAATATATAATATATAATATATAATATATAATATATAATATATAATATATAATATATAATATATAATATATAATATATATAGTGTATAGATATAATGTCCAATAGCGGCTTTGCACGCCAGGAATGAAAGAGAAGAAATGCAGAAATGTAAAGTGCAGTAATTAAATGTACAAACCCAGTGACAGCGTTGCCGATCTGTGGGCAAGATAAAGAAAAGAAAAAAATGTCCAGTCACCGTTGGCGGATAATCCGACATGTGGGATAGTGCAATACGTCCAAGTATGTCTAATATGTCCAAGTCAATATGTCCAAGTCCAATAACTGTTCAAGAGTAAAAGAACTCAATAGAATTTTTTTTTCTATTTTTTTTTTGTACCTGCAAGAAGAGGTTAGGAAAAAAAATAATAACAAATATTAACAACAAATAAACAGTAAAACTTCTGTTTAAAATAAAAAAACTCAAACCGTCTCCCCGGCAACAGCGCCAAGTTGATTTGCAGTATAAAACAGGCAAAAATAACTAAAAAGAACCCTTGTAAGTAGGGTGTCGAACTTCGGGAAGACGTGAATTAATTTAATTTAAACAAAAGTTTACAAAAGAAGTTGTAAAAAGTTTTTGGTCTTTTTTTGGTTTTAGAGATAAAATAAAAAGTGTAAAGGAGAAAGTTCCAAACAACACAAAGTTTTGATGATGAAAAGTTAGGGGTAGAAATTGGTAAATTAATTGTCCAATATTTTTATAAAGGTTGAATTGTCAATTTATTTTTATATAGAATCTATGGGGTTGCAGAAAAGTATTTAGGGACGCTCTCGCAGTTCACCTAAAAAATAACCACTCCGACTTTAACACGCTAATGATAAGTCCAGAGTAATTATTTAGTGACAACGGCAACCATAATTATTTTATTGTATAAATACCCAATTTAATGCTGTAAAAATACAACTGAATAATTATTTCCACCTGAAAGTCGTCAATCCCGGCTAAGGGTAAAGAAGGTTTACAGTGTATTTAAAAAATGTTCTATTTATGATTATATCAATTATAGCTCATATTCCTTGTAACAATTATGTTTATGATTGGGCCCTTAATAATCACAAACATTCAAGATTTATTTATTTTTTTAAATACAACATCTAAATAATAATAATATCAACAATCCATGTTAAAAATATTTAAAACATTAATATGAAAAATTAATTACACCAACTTCTAACCCCAATAGAATTTAGAAGTTCATAGTTTGAAGTTTAAACAAATAAATATTTATTACAATCGTAAAATCTTACAAAAATGGAAGATGTACTTTTGAGCTCTAACTAAAATAAATGATGTTGATGATGATGAAGATGGAGTAATTTTTATGTGTTTGGAGGAAGAAAGTGGTTGGGTATTAGTGAGAAAGGAAGAGAATTTCGGAAATGTAGAGGGGAGAAATGGGGGGTTCCAACCTCTTAGAAGAAGAGAAGGGTGACCCGTGTTCGAAACTTCCCCACTGTTTACTGTTTTGTCTTTTTTCTCTCTCAATTGATAGGCTGAATTAGAAAAGAACATAATGCATATCCTCCACCAATGTGCCGAAAGACCTGTTGTGGTGCGATGGTCAGAACTCCAGTTCCACGTCCTGAAGTCTAGAGATCAAATCCTAGTGTTGTTTTGTTTCTTTATTTTTATTTAATTCTTTCTTTTCTTCAAATCTCTTCAATTTATTTGGTCCCAAACTTTCATGTTTATTTTCCGTCATGGCAGTTAGGGCTGTGCATCGGTCCAAACCCGGACCGACCCGGACCGGACCGGGACCGAATAAGAGCAAAGTAATGGACCGTAAACCGGACCGACATAGTGTGAGATCGGACCGGGACCGGACCGAATAAAATTGGACCCGTCCGAATAAGGACCGAATAATAGACTATATGGCTATCAATATGAATACATTCACGAGAACTACACATGCTCCATTCTAAAGTCTGTCAATGCTAGAATTGATATGGTTATGATTCCATTCAACTATACAGAATTCATCAATGGTCTAAAAAAAGCTACTATAAATTTTTTTAGAAGGCTTTGAAAAACTTAGTTTTTTTTATTCATCACTAATTTTGACTTATATAATTTAAAGAAATCATAAATTCAATATCAATAATGTAAAAAAAACATGTAAAAAATGTTTGGACGGAGTGGACGAGTGCTGCAATTGGACGACCGACGACTAGACGGAGTGCGTACCTTCGGAACCGGTGGACGACTGGACGGAGTGCTGCGAATTGCGATTGGACGGCTGCTGACAGTGCTGAGTGTTGAGAGCCCTGCGATTTGTCAGAGACTCAGAGGATTCGGCGGAATCGGAGTGCTGCATGAGTGCGTGACGCCGTGACCTGCGTGTCCTTTGAGATTTCTTCCGCTAGCAAGACGGCGACTGCAAGAGAACCCCCAATTGGCCAATTATGTGGATATGGCTATTTGCTACTGGAAATGTGGAATACTAGTGTTCTACCCCGTGCTTCGCACGGGCTCGGGTAATTGTGCATGTATTTGTTGCTTGTAAATGAGTTTTTGTGGATATCTCTTTAATACCAAATAAAATGAAATATTAATCTAAATGAGAGAAAATTTGAAATCGCCTACTATCTCTTTGAAACTGGATAAAGTTTCAATTTTAGTTAAATAAAAATATAATGTATAATTGTATAAAAATGGCTTTATACGATTTATCTTGTTGAGAATTTTTAAAATTTTATTTCATTATACTAATATACAATACAAATTGAGAGTAATTAAAATAATTAAACTGGATAAATACACTTAGACGAAATTAGTACATACAACTGTTCGTATTGTGATAGTAGATAGGTTTACCAAAGTTTCTACTACTACCCCCAAGATAGAACTTGTCATGTTAAATTCAATTTGTTTATCTAAATGAGGAAGGATATAATTTTCAACAATCAAAATATGGGCCTATAAAATGCAAATTGAATCTATGTCGTATATTTAAAGGCATTGTGGTTACAAAATTTAACAATAGTAGTGTCACAATTGACAAATGTTAATTGTCATAGCTATTTAACACCTTTTGTAATGATCATATACCTTATATCGACATCTTTTAAAGAAAATAAAGATACTCTCTAAACTGGCTTAGTTCTATTAAATGGGAATTTGTAAACTGGGTTTATACCATGAATATCAGGGTCTTCATGCAATACTCTCCTTAGTGTCTTCTCCAAATCCCTGAAACTGTGAGTAGTTTGTATAGGGTAAGTGCAAAATGATGGCAATAGTTACCATAAGGATTATACAAATTCCATGAGTAGTCCTCGCAGAGAGCTCCCTTGTTCCTCTATTTGTTAAAAAAGTACAGAACAGTTGACCTACCAACAGGAAAGGGAACAGAAATGGGGGTAAAGACGGTAGAAATGAGACATTTGATAGCACAGTCATACCATGGCATGCCTCTGCTTCGTATTTCTAGTAATGGACATAATTATCTTGGTAAAGTACCGTAAGTGAGCCCCAACAATGCAATGTTTTAGATATGAAAAAACCACAAATTGACCTCTGATGAATTCTGAAATTCCAAATTAAGAGGGACAATGCTAAAAAAGGTTTCAGGTCCCTTAACGGTTAACACCAACAGGTGATCCCACATATTCATGTAGGTGCAATAAGGCAAACCAAAGAGTAGATCAGCCTTGCCGTCAATGATAATGGTATAAAACCCAATAAATGTTACGTGTATCACCTCTTCATATGAGAATAAATCTAAACAAATTATAAAAATCTCAGCCATCAAGAAGTAATCCTCAATCCACATGACATAAACAACTAAATGGAGATATTATCACTGAAACTAAAGATCAATTTGCTAATTAGTCTCGGTTTCTTTAAGCCTTACCTGTTTACGACATGTGAAATGTTACATCCTGTTACCTTTTTACCTCTTTAAGCCTTACCTGTTTACCTTTAACTATCATAAAGTAGAAGACAAAAGTGCATATACACCAAGGAAAATTGAGTTGAATACTGGGTTGTTGTGAGTGCGGCCACCAATGTTTTTTCCCCCGGCAATAATGAAGTCAAAATATAACATGCTCTAATTGCAATTAAATTTAAAAATAATACTAATTCAAATCATTGAATCCTAAGCTACCGCCTGTTTCCTAGATATTTAACCTATAGACGATTTTTTATTCATGGTTAAGTTATATTAGCACATGCATTAGCTGACGTTTACTTGGGCTTTGCGTGGAATGAGAAATAGTAATTTATAGAGTACACCAAATATATTGTCTACATATATCCACTGGTTAATTGATAAACCTCATACACTTATTGACTTGTTATTACATTTATTTTTAATACGTTGTTCAGTCCAAGAGTGTTTTTGGCAAGGATTGAATTTTTAAACAATTTTTTTAATAATACCATATAACACTCCCTACACCTACAATCGACTTGAAGCTCTCCTTTTCTAGTTCTTAAATAAACTTCACAGTCTTCCTTTTCTTTATAAGGAATGGAAGATGCACCTCAGTCTTTTCTCTCCTTTAAACAAAGTTCAACGAAACACTTGTCAAATTTTAGCACTTCTTAAATGTATGTGATGTCAAACACTAAAGCTTATTTCAAGACAAATGAAGTATACTTTAAGCATTTGTTGTGTCCTTTTATAATGCGAGTTTGGTTTATTGGATAGTTTTTGTGGAAGATGAGAAATCATTACACCTACCAATAGATTTTGAAGATTTGGCTGGTTTTGATGAAGAAATGTTTTTAAGAAGAGTGTTGTTTATTGGTTTTTCGTGTCTTTTACGCAATTTATGTCGTAGAAGTTTTGGAAATAAAAGGCTCGCTGGAAGATCATAGGGGAAGAAAACATTTAGTAAAATTATAAATTGAGGCTAATGTGTTGTAACTAAATAGTAATTACCTAGATCCTGAGACCAGTCGGTAGGAGCTCACGATAAATAGGACACATTGATAGAGGAAAATTTGCCCCCAGATCAATTGGATCGTTGATCTGTACCTTCATTCGTAAATGCACCTCGAGACCCCCATTTGACAACCGTATCTCAGAATGTTCGGAGGAATCTCTGGAACCCCCTTAATGACTGTAAAGTAATAAATTTTAAATATTAAAAATTTGAAATCAAGCAACAGAGTATAGAGGACAAAATAACTTAATGAATATATAAAGATGATGTACCCCGGATGACTCAAGCAAAACCACCCTCTCCCAAAAATAAAATCTTTTCCATCAAAATAAAAACCTTTGTTTCTTGTTTTTGCCTTTTCAAACAAAACCACAAAATATTCTCCTCTTTCTTTCCTAATTTTGATCCTGAAAGCATGAATAATCAATTATACATAACTGATAATCGACTATTCTATCCCTCTGATTCCTCATCACAAACCAGCAACCTCCAACAATCGATTATCTCCAACCTGATAATCGATTATCTGTATTCTCAGAAAATACCCAGTTTGTGCAAGCCTTGTTAATCGATTGATCATGCTCGTCAATCGACTAATGGGTATCTCTGAACATTCCTGGTTTGGAAACAAAATCTTATTAATCGATTATCTAAAGATGCTAATCGATTATTATACATCTCTGAACTTCAAAACCCAAAGTTGTTCAATTCCTATTTTCCTTTCCTAAGATTGGGTATAAGGCTTAAATTATGTCCTGATTTTCAACAAAGAATAAAACCTTTTTTTCCACAAAACAAAAGCATAATCACTTTTGAAACAAAGGAACAAAAATCAGAAACAAAGTCATTGAATGAATAGTGCTGTTTTGGCATTTTATTCACAAAAGTCTAAAGCTTGATTCCCCTTTGTTTTCTTCCTTATATGCACGAAATTTCCCCCTAAATAAACTCAAGGAAGATCAGCCCAAAATCAGGAGAAGCATCTTGGAAAATCAGCTCACATGGATGGACATTAATCTTTGATTTTTAGGAAAGAAGTAGGAAGTTTCCTTTATTGTATTTTTCTTTGTTGTTGTATTTCCCCTCCATTGTGGCCTATATATACACAGGCATATGGCCATTGTAAGGGAGCCATGGATTGAATAAAACTTCTTTGTTTTACTCTTTGAGTAATTCTTTAAAATAGTGTGATGCTATTTTAACCAAATTTCCTAATGAAATATCTCTAAAGTTGGCTACTTTTGAGTGCGTGTTAGGAGTCTAATTTTATACATTAGTAGTGATTATTAATGTGTAAAAGAAGATAAAAGCCCCAAGTTAAAATAAGAGTGTGTCATATCTCTTAACACCAACTTGGTTTATCCCTTCACTTTATTTCTGTCCATTTCATTCCTCACCATTTCTTCTTCTTAAACTTATTCTTTTCTCTCATTAAAAACACCAAAAAGAACTCTTTCCCACACTCCATATTTCACCCCTTCAATTCTATCATCCATTTCCTCCCGCAAATCCGCCACAAAATAGCTACTCGACAAGACCCCGGGTCTCGGGTACAACAAAAGAGCATCCCATCCCCTTGTGAGAAAAGAGAAAATCAGAAATTCAAAGAGTTTTAAGAAAACATTCAATACAAAAACAAAAGGTTAATTGTTGAAGCACATATTAAATGAGAACTAATAGGAAAAACCATAAGAAATAAGAAAAATCATCGATGAGATGAAAAGTCATTATCTCTTTTCATTTTGTCTTCCCGAGTAATTATTTTAACTTCATTAAATGTCCTATCTACCTCTGTAGTGAGCAATGTTCTAGCGTATGTTATAGAGATGTCTTCAACGTTTCACTCTCCTTGTCAACAAAGTGATAGAGAGAACAACATTTGCATCTATAAATGACACAATTATATACATCATAAAAATCATATCTATGAAATTTGAATTTGAAATCAATTAAAAAAAGTAACAATTACAGAGTATATATGAACAAATTTTTAAAGAAATCTTAAAAGCATTCTGTTTTTTTTAAATTGAACGGGATCTGTGATTAAAGGTATTCTTAATTGCATTCTCATTTCTTTAATTTCCATCAGTTTGTTGATTTTTTTGTGAGTTCATTTAGATTCACTCAACCAAGTGAATCCAAACACTATGTAAGTTGAAGTACCGTTGTGGAGTAGATTCACCCTTAAGGGTTGAGGCGAACATTTTATTCCTGCTCCCAGATAGCGTGGAAAAGCCTAAATCTCCAAACAACAAAAATAAAAATGGGCAAACCCAGTGAGACTACCATCAAATCAACCAAACATTATGCTGAAATAAAGAAACTACTAATAAAAGTGAAAGATGTACTCCATTTGCAGAAAATTGGAAAGGAGAACATGATGCTAAATGGAATAACACATTATAACTTAAAAGATAGTGAAAAATGATTTAGTGAGTGATAATAGTACAGAAAGCATCAACCACTAAAGTCCAAACAGAGGTTCAAAATCAAATTCAATTTTTGAAACCTTATTTATATTTGTTTTCGAGAAATGACTGGAACTATTGAGATAAGAAGCACATAAAATGTAATTTGTTTTGGTGGAATTAAAGTTAGGACGAAAAAGTATGAGAAAATGCCTTGAAAATGGTTGCAATAAGAAGCACTGGAAAGCAAAATTTCTTTAGTGATACAATGATTAGGCCCATAGAAAAAAATATACTCTGTAGTCATTACTCAAGCTTCACAAATTCAGAATTTTGAAACAAAAAATTTAAAAAAAGATCTAAAGCCCAATGACACTTTTCACAATTTAAAAGTCTATTTCTGATACTAATTGAAAAAACTCAGTGTGACACACCTCAACTCTCCCCCATATTAAATTGATGATGTTCCTAGTTCATCTGCATATTTGAGTTCATTCTCAACGCCCTGCGACAAATAAGCCATAATGCAGTAAATGAAAGTGTATATCAATGACATATGGAATAAAAGATGTACTAATTACTCAAAAATAAAAACAAAATGAAAACATATCATTGAATTGAAACAGAATAAAATAGGAGTATATATAATCGTACCAAGGTGATATAAATAGAGTTGAAGAAATAATGGAAGAGGGAGAATACCTGGAGCACTCGGAAGGTGGGAAAAGAAGTGGCTAGCTCCACAAATAAATAAGAGTTCATTAAATCATGAAAGGTGTTATTGAATGCACTTCTTCTGTTCTTTAATGAGCTGTCCATACAAAACAAATTCTGTGAGGAAGGTGAAAGATTGAAGGAAAAGAGTGTTCAGTAAAGCAGGAATGGAGGTAGTAAGAGAATAGTTAACCCGTTTTTCTTCCCAAACGAGGTAAACCTCACTCTACCTCGCCCTACCTCCAACCAAACACTGCGTTAGGGTTTTTCGAAAAATTGCTAGCAGCTTCGTAGAGATGTCGGAGCGCTTCAGTTCAGCTTCGTAGATCTTGAGCGCTTCCCCTACTAGAGGCTGCGACCTAATGATTATAGATTGAAATACGTGGCAGGATGACTAAGACAAATTTGTCCAACTGTAATGCACACATGGACTGCCAAATGTCGCAGTTAAACCGCTCTACTTTATATACTCCCTCCGTCCTAAAATTAACTTCTTACTTTCCTTTTTTGGTTGTCCTAAAATTATCTTCCCATTACTTAAAATGGAAAGGCTTACTATGGTAGATGACAATAATGCCCCCATCTATTTATTCTTTCCTTTTCACCCTCAATTTCCCTCACTGGTTCAATCTTCCCCATATCCCACAGTATGTTTTCTTCTCCGATCATCTCCCTTTTCTTATCTTTTCTTTTTGCTTAATTTTCTTGATTCATACAAAAAAGAACCATCACACCCATGTCTGCTCAAGAGTCCTCGCCCAATAAAGTATTATCGAACTTCCCCTACCTGTCGTCTCTAAAATTTACCAAGTATGCGCCGCCGTCTCTATAAATTATCGAGCTTCCATCGCCATCTTTGAGGAGGCTTTTCCCTTTTAGATCTAAGTGATAAATTCAATCAGCAAAAATTCTGTTCTTTTTATTTGCTCGACGAGACATGCGATTCTTTGTGGTCTTATTTGGGAGAATTGATTTGAGGAGGACGTAGATATGGAGAACTGAAGAACCAATTGAATTTCCAAATGGGATTTGTTTGATTTGGAGAATTTCGTATTGGGAGTGAAGGTTTGGGTGCGGATGAATATAGGGGTATTCTCGGAAAGTCAATGTAATTTTTACACTTCCTTAAAAATCACTCCCGGTCAAAGTGGGAAATTAAATATAGGACGGAGGGAGTATGATATACTAGTGTTTTGACCCGTGTCTTGCACGGAGCCGAACGAATTTTTTGTCGATTCTTATTTTTTCATGTAATATTTTTTTCGGATTAAAGAAAATAAATTTATTACATTATTTTTAATACTACATACATCAAGGTCAAAGTAGAATAAATAATATTTTAATTTTTAAGAATTGAAAGTATACGAAACAAAGACTTGTTAAATTTCAAATTTTATGAAACACTTCAGAGTATACAATATTTTTGGTATGGTTGAAAGGATTTCTATTGTCATCTAAACTAAATATTTTTAATCATATACTCCCTCCGTCCCCCATAGATCTTCCCAATAGTCCTTTTTATTTGTCCACAATAGATCTTCTCATTTCATTTTTTAACAATTAAAATACCACAACTACCCCCACTTACTTTATTTATTACACCTCACTCACCTCATTTAATACACTCCACCCATTTTCATTAAGGATATTATGGTAAACTTTCACCTTTTTTCAACTCTCCTTAAAAACCACCAAAAGTCAAAATGAGAACATCTTAGAGGCACGGAGGGAGTATTTATCTTCACTTGTGAAGTAACAACATAAAATTGGCCATAAGTGAATACTGGCTTAGTTAAGATAATCTAACAAAAAACAATGTTTCACCTTAACTTTAGTTAATACTCATAGCAAAACATTAAACTATTGGGAATTTTCTTTTTTGAAACTTGAGGGGGTAGTCTTGGATCATATGGTACCAAATTTATTCGAGGTATGTAAACCTTTTTCCCGTCTCAATTTCTCAAAACCACGATTGCACGGTTAACATTTTTTCACATCTCTTCAACAATTAATCTTGTACTATTACACAATCCAAATAACATAGTTAGTACCCTTTTTTTCAAAAGTATTTTTTGGTTTGGAATCCCTGAACATTTGATTTAATTCAAAAATTCAAATGTTATCCAATAAGCATCAACACCTACATTGGCATCTGCTTGCCATTAAGAATCATAACTCAAGTACTCTTTTTTCATCACCGAGAATGAGGAATAGGACAAACTAATTTACCATTTCAACAACTTCGAGAGTGGGTGCTAATGGTGCCCTATCCTAAAAAAGAATATTTTTTCATATTCTTCAATAAGTTCAGATAAGTGAATTTCAATACTATACTCTTGAGAGGATAACTTATGTCAAGAATCAAGAATCCAAGCGGAATTTCAACGTCATCAATTCCATCAATCACCTAACCAAGCTTTCCATCTCCAATCAGAAAAAGCTTGTGTATCCCTATCTGCGTTAGAGGACATAGATGAATGCAATATCATATTCTTGATGAATGTAAAAACTTTACAATACAATCACAATTTTGAGAAATTCACGGTAGCACCTACAATTTCCTCTCTCGAAACGCTGGTAAAATTGGAAGGATCTGGCAAAAATCACTTGTGCTGAGTACTAATATTTTCCCTCTGAATGGTTCATTTCTAGAGTTATTATTATACAACCTCATTATATCTCTCATTGTGTGATCCGATGCCTCAAAAGCAAATCTATTCATCACACATGCTTCATCTCATACGATTCCACTTGCTTGTTAGATTAATTCTGCTTTCGGACCCCCTTGTTTGATAGCACACATTGAGAACTCAGTTAAAGCCAGAGGGATTGAGAATCTCAAGTTGTTAGAATAAAAGACCAACGCTAGAGGGGGGGTGAATAGCGTTTGATCGGAGAANCTATCTCTCAACGTGTCTAAGAACACAAGTACACTCAAGAACGAGACTCTCTTATAGAGTAGATTATGAGTAAACTAAGTACGCTCAAGAACAACTCAACCTTCACACAAGTGGCTCTAGAAAGCTATGGAAAATTATGATATTTGAATGCAATGAAAGTATAGATGTTGTGAAGTGAATTGGTGAGAAAAGCATACCCAAACACCCCTTTTTATAGTGCAAAATTAGGCTCCAACGGACCAATGCATTAAAGGAGTGATTAGCTTGATTTATGAGATTGAAAAGATTTGGGATCTGCAGAATATTGGCTTCCCATCGATGTTTGGGACTTACCCATCGCTGGTAAGCCAATTTTCCTTCATTTTTGAAGTCAACGGTTACCTACCCATCGATGGGTACAAGCTTCCCATCGCTGGGTGGGAGGTTGACTTCCAAACAAGGAAAGAATCAACCTTTAATGACCACCAACGGTCATGCCTTCCCATCGCTGGGCAAGGTCGTTCTGCCTTGTGGTAATTTTGCACCAAGGCTCTAACAGCGATGGGTGGAACTCCCCATCGCTGTTTGGCATGGTTCTGGAAACTGGTTTGGCTGAGGAGCCGCTTACCCATCGATGGGAAGATCTTCCCATCGCTGGGTGAGTGGTTAGTCAAGAACCCATGGTTTTTGGCTTAACCACGGCCTAGCCAACCGATGCGTAACCCGACCGAAAAATTCAAAGTTCTCCAAAATAAAAACCAAGAGTTTAAAACACTTATTTGATGTATTTGGCTAATAAATCGAGTAAGACACTTTAAAAACCACGTCATTTAAGTGAAAACCACGGCTAGCCAAGTTTTATGCCGTT